GCAACCTCAACAGCACCACCTTCGCCGTTTATTGCGCGAGTCCAGTTAATGTTTATTGCATTATAAGTGCTTCCTAACAAGACTAACCCGAATTTATTATCGTCTTCTTGTAGATATGAAGATTTAAACTCGACATCTCCGACTCACACTCCGAGTATTGGTGCAAGTGTCTTTAAAGCCACTCCGATGAAATAATTTGATTTAAGAGACGAACTTTGAATTTTTCATATCAATATACAATGTACACTCAAACCCTAACCTTACAGAGGCTGAATGAAACTTTACAAAAGCATTAGAGCTAATTTCATATCATATAACCCTTGAAACTATACGTATTTTCTATTCTAGTTACACAATTGTTTGATCATAGCCCAAAACATTGACAGCACTCCACTGAAACTACTGCATAGAACGTCATTTCGCATCCTCGTGGAGGTAGCATGATTTGATGATAACGAGGTTCAGTAGGCTGGACATCAGTAAGAACAAAATCTATGTCAGTAGCACGATCAGCAGATAAAGAGGCTAGCTAGTAAAGTCTTCCTCCCAGTGTCGATTCTCCAAACTCCAGTTTCAATGGCACGTGGTTGTCTCTAGATCCTAGTACAATCAGTGAACCGTCTTCATCTTTGCTTGGGGCATTTTCAATGGGGATCGTTTTTCCCAATGAAGAACTTGAACTTTTTCTTGGCATGCTGGACGGAGGCTCACATGGTACAATTGGGAATATATCTATATACTGTCTTTTCACATCCTTGGGATTAGGCATGACTACTGTTTTCGATCGGGGGATGATTTCAATGGCATTAACCTGATTTTGATACTCCATTTCTGAAATTGTGAGATACATCTTAGCCTGTGGAGCAACATCATTTGCAGCTATGATAGGAATGATATTCCCCTGTAGGAAGACTATGCCCCGGAGTAGAGAGCCATTGTTGCCAATCATTACAGTTATAAAATACTCAGCATCAATTGAACCTTCAGTAACGCCATAAACACTTTGCCCTATCATGTTAATGGCACTAACATCTTTGAAGTTTATTTCCTATTTTTCAACTTATTTCATGCTTTCTGGTATAGGAGTTGCAGATGATTGTAAGATACAGTTTATTGTTAAGCTTTCAACATCACTTGTGGTCGTGATCGTAATGATCTTCTCCTGTAGGTAAAAGGAAAGATCAAAATGCTTCCCCAATGAATCCATCGGGGAAAAAAGGGAAATAAACTAATAGAAAAAGACAGAGGACGTCGGAACAAGAGAAAAACTCGAAAATCTACCTCACAGTCTACAATGAACAATAATATTTCCTGGAGAACTGTCCTAAGTCAATAAACTATGCCGAAGATAAATTAAATCAAGTTCCAAATTAAGTACACCATATAAATGAGCCTAAACAGTTCATACAGTTTTGGCTCCTCAATTATGATCTAGATCGTATGAAGTCAATCCATCTTAATAAAACAGCAATTTCAAACATCATAAAATGGAAGAATGTAGCAAATTGAATCACTACACAAAATTTAACCTGACTATTCCGTCCGCAAATTGTAAAGGGAACTAATTAGAAATTAGATCTAAGAAACCTTACCGTATTTAAAATTCATTTTTTTTAAAAAATTGAAAAATAAACTTCCGCCGCAGAGTGTCACGCAATAGTTTCAAATAAATCAATATTTCTACCGTCGTGAACTCAGCCGCCGTAATGTAAAGGTGTTGAAAACCAATATCGAAAGTCGCCGTGAATTCTACCGTCTTAATGCATATATCCGAATGGAAATCCGATGCAATACAGAGAAAACGAAAACAAAAGGAAAAGTAAGGGAAGCTGATTTTTTTGTAATGCATTTTTTGAATTTACGAGAGGTCGGGAGCCGTGGTGGTGGAGGATTAGGTGGCTTTGGTAAACTTAACCTCACTATGATAGCATAAATTGCATCAACAATTAGAAAATGAATAGGAATAGGAATCTCATGATTCTCATCATCCATGATTTGGAGGGAATTTTGAATATGGCATGTTTGGAAATAATTTCAATCGAGGTTTTGTCTCTCTATATATACTTAATGAATCACGCTTTTGATATGATTAATTTTTTTAATTAATTTTATTATAATTATCAATACTTAGTCCCTATTTGGCCAGATACATAGAAACAATTCAAAATTCGCGCAACATGACTTATTGGAGGACTCTTAGGAAAACAAACTTATTTGATCTCTTTGCAAGACAGACTAATAGATGGGGAGTCGAAGCTTTGTTAAGTTTAAATTTTTGCTCGTGACATTTTCACAAGCGTTAGGATTAATGGTTCATAACGTACATCTATGGAGAAGAAGTCGTTCATCAGCTTGTGCACTCATTTTTCTCCTTTTTTATCAAATAATGCAATATCAGATATAGGGACGAGTAGTTGAAATCATACCCCTATCATTTGATCAAATCTAGTTTCCCCTATTAATCAAAGTTACTCATTGCATACAATTCACGTAATATCAACACAAATTCAACTAATCACTTCTATTAATTCAACCAATCCAAACTACTCACAAATGTTTATCGAGTGATCGAAGTATCTCATCGTACTAATTTTAGAGTATTTATACCAACTCGTGGATCCATTGTATTATACAGTGGGTGTTTGGTGGGAATTAAAATTTGATTTTTAGTAGATTGTGTTAGAAGTTTTTGAAATGTGTAGTTGAAAAGCTGTGGGACCCATGAAATGTGTGGTGAATATTGATTGTTTGACTTTGACTTAGATTACAATATGATTTTGATCCGAAACAAATAGGGCTTCAATATTTTCAAACCTAAATAATAATATCTAAAAGTGGCTAGATAAGCATGATAAAAAAAAAAAAGTTCGAGTAGAACCATTAGATCGTATATCATAAATCATATAAATTTAAAGCATAAATACATCATTATCTGGTGAAGCTATCCAACTAGTTACAAGCATATCATTCTGAATTTTTTCAAAATTTCCAATTTCTTTCGAAAAGTTCCATTTTTATTTTTATTTTTTCAATTTTCTATATAAAGTAAAGCAATAATAAACAAGCACACAATTGACTTACAAAGCCGACTCTACATAAATGTTACATTGTTGTAAGTACAAAACGTAGAGTGGGGTAATGCATGAATGGGCTTGGGAACATTGTGTTTTCAAAAATCGACTTGAAGCATTTGAGGCCGCATGCACTTTCATACAACTACCAGGGAACAATTATTAGTATTGGCAGTATAATGTTTTTTAGTCCGGGGATCGACGTAG